TTTAGAAATTCTATCTGAATGTTCAGAAAGAACAAAATCCTATTCTTTTAGCATGTAGAATACTTTAATTGGTCGTGCTCGCTGGGAGACTTGAAGGTCGTACCTTCGATATCTGGCTGAAGAGTCATGGATATAAACTGCTGGAAAGTAGCATCAGTACACGAATTCCCAATAGCTGTTTGGCTCAATTTACTTAAAGATGCACACTGCAAATATCATATAAAACGAAAAACAAACTGGTTATTTCTATTTCGATTATCTTTAAGTAAACGAAAAGAAACTAGACCCTGGATTCAGCACTCAAACATCAGTAGAAATACTAACGGACCAAGACGTAGGTGGATCTAGTTGATGATATCAAGACTGAACTGTTATATAGTATCAAATATAGTGAAAGTATGATCACAGGAGACAAGGATTCTGTAAAAAAAAAGTTGACAAATGGATAGATCAGTCATTCCAGTCTTATAAAAATACATAGGGAAGTAAAGATCCATCTTAACATTAATGGTGTACAACTCTAATAATTAAATCCAGAGTGTATGTATTTTTATATAAGGTACTAGTCAAGCTAACGAATCCATGAACTTACTTTGTGGTCGATGTAATTAAACCATCACTTATTACTTTAAATATCCAATCAGTGTTATAGAAGACATTAATTTCATTGCATACATTCTGAATTTAACATAATATTGATGTAAACGAAAATACATTCTCACGGTCGTATATCCATGAACAAGCTTATTATCAGACTGTTCAAATAACTGAAGAAATATCACTTACCTAAGACAAAAATATAAAGAGTGTGATCGAGATAAATTAACTCCAAGAGTGAAAAGTGGTTTAAAATAGATTATATTCTACTTAGTCTATTCAACTAATTCTTTGTGAGAAATTCAGATAAGGTGATACGCAACGTATTCAATATTGACTATGTTATACCTATAACTTTCGGTCATTTTTATGTCCATTTATTAGATAAGTAGTACATATTAGTGTAGTGTTTACTCCAAAAACAAGGATAACAACTAAACACCACAAATTTAAGATGTCTCATTAATAAAGATACAACATTGCTGCTTACCAATCATGAAATAACACCTTATTTTTCATCTCAATTTATGATATACAAATTGAATGAATGATCACTGTCCTATCTTTTTTCTTTCTACATTTTAGTCTCGAACACTCCAGTTTAAATAAACATATGGTTATAAACAACTTTATTGATATTTATTAAGTACTCTTCATAATATAATCACTGGTAATATCACCATAATCATCACCATAGTGAATTTGTCATTTATTATTGACTAATGTTAACGACTATGCTCTAAATAAACGCTTATCTGAAATTTAACAGAACTTTAATTAAGATTGATTTGAATGCATTGAGTTGTGTTGTACTTTAATTTTTTGAAGTTTTAGTAAATCCTATCACCATGATCCTTATTATAAATTTCTAATTATATGACCAAGATTTGAATCTAACAATGAATCAATTAGATAAATAATATCCAAATTTAAGTTACTTGGAGATTACAGACATTTTACCAACGTAATGAACATGTTACCACAATTTCATATTACTAAAAATAATATGAACATGAGTGAACACTAATCATTAATCTATCCTGTTTACGATAGAATTCGGCCACGTATTACGTATGCCTGAACACCGATTACCGCGACGTGCAATGCTAACCGGTGTAGGGGATGGTTGGAAGAAAGTTAGGGGCGGCCAAACCAAAACGTGGCATCAGTGCCTGAAGTCACTAACTTCTAGTCTGAGCCATGTTGGTAGATGCAGACTACTTGGTTGGGGTCCGCGTGACTTTCGTAACCAATGGTTGGAGACCCTTGGTGACATGGCTCAGAATCGATCACAATGGCGTCGGTGTATACACTCTCTGTCTTCTCTTAAACTAAGAGATTAAGATCACTTCACATCTTTCTTTCTACGAACTAATTCTTTCTTCCTATACTATATCCTTATTGCAATCTTTCTCCTATATATTACCACCTTTGACCTAACCACTCCTATGAATCCAGTGTTCATCTTGCTGTGCTAATGAGGTATGGCAACCTGGGCCGATGCATACATGTGCCTGGTCCTACGTTGTAGCTGACTGACTGACTGACGATAGAATTCTAAAATCTATAGAAAAGTCTACTTTAAACGATACTAGTTTAATTATGGCTCATAGTTCTGAAGGCTATACAACAGTTCTTCAGTATGAAGATACCTTAAGTATTCGTAAATATTGACGGTATAGGATATGAATGTTAAGATGAACGTGAGGTTTGAACTAAGGTTGTCGTTGTTAGCTGTTTACTTAGCATGTCTAAAATAATCAGACGTGGTTCAAATTAGGCGTCTAAACACCAATGGAAATACACTGTAACACTACTTTTTTAAAACAAACACTTTGTTAAGAACCGCAAGTACATTTAGTAGTATTAATAATACAGCTTATTATTAAATGATATATGTACTATCAGAACAATTATATCTAACAGTACAAACTAATTTGAAATCCTCGGACGACAGAATCTAATGATTAGGGGCTTTAGGGAAGATCAAATCTTGACAAATAGAAGCCAATCGATACTAAGATTGATTAAGTACTGATGAATGTGAAATATTTGCAGTATAAAACATGTAATAATTCTTTAAGATCATCCAACCATCAGTTCTCACGTATGTACTGTAAAGTAATTTCCTCGAAAATTGTCAAAATACTTTGCCGTAAACCTGATGATTAAATGGTTATTAACTGAACGAATTTTGACAGAATACAACATTCGAATACCATACAAATATCTTCATGCGCCGATCCATATGAATCAAACTCTCCAGACTTCATAATAATTTCTATTATTTTGTATCATACAAGTGTGTAATCAGTTTTAGATTAAAAGATATACCAATTAGTGATGTCAGTATTTTTTTACAAGATATTTTTCAATATAGTGAAAAAACTACGAAATTTTATTATGCAAATCCATCTACTCTTAGTAGTGTGAGCAATTCTTAAAAATTTCATTCATTATTTTGTCCGGAACTTAGATTCGATTTCATCTACAAACACTTTTGGGAATATACACACTTAGCAGCTGAATCGCTGAAAACAAACACGGACGTAATTCAGTTCGGTCGTTGTTTAGAAGTGTTTACCAATCATTTACTAATTTAGACAGAGACACAGGTACAAAGAGGCACCAAAGTATGTATGCGACACATAAATCATTGGAATTTTTCATGGGCCGGGATACAGATTGGATGCTCAAACCGCAGCAGGTGGTTCCCTTAGGGTACCAGCCCCGAGCCTTTGACCTAGTGGTCTTATCCACATGGCAGTGAGTCACTTTAGAAGATGCCGTCTCATGGTAGCCAGTAACCAAGGTCAGATCCACACCCTAATAGATCACTCAATATCCTGAAGCCCATGCGCACCATTCCAGTCACTGGGATAGTGTAACACAGTATTAAACGCCTCAGCGAAGTCCAGATATCGTAGATACATAGGCGCTCTACTCCTATAGCAACAGCTTACAGCCAAATGAGTATTGAAACAGGTCGGTTACTGAATAGCAAGAGGGTTCGGGTCATTATTTTAGCGCTATGTAGCGTATGTCCCTGCAACCTGCAAACTTCTTGAACCTACTTTTCAGCAACCTTTACAACGCTAGTCCTGGTTTTGCCTATATATTGCTCTTCATCATTGTCATTGTTGGTATATCTGCTCAAACCCGTTGACTCGGCACCTGATTCCTAATTTTTTCAAAGTATGGGACAAAGACCTGAATGGTCCCGAAATCCCCTGGTTCGTGATTCTATTTGTGTGACATCAATTTATACAGGTGCTGTGTACCTATCTACAACTTCATTGCCAGGTTTATGTTGGGAAGACGTACCTCCCCCTCTTTCTTGCCCGTAGACTGCACCTGTCCCTTGATCTTAGATATAGGTCAAGCTCTGAGTCTTTTAATGAAGCCCTCAGTATGTTCCAAGCTTTCTTCTATGCTTGAGGCAGTCGTTCGGCGCACCATTTTATTCATGATATAATTATGTTAAGGACAATTATTTGAGTTAGGTACAACTACGTCAAATGTTTTATTAAACGACGGGATGTGTTTGGAATAGATTGGACTTGTTTGGAAAACAAAGGGTTAGACAGATATATTTAGTCACAGATAAATGGACCTAACATGAATGTGGATCACTATGAAAGAAATTCACCTTACTAGATTACTGATGATACCTTAATTCACGAAAACGGACCAATGCTAAGTCATTTCATGATGGCAGCAAGTAGTTGAGGATAATCTTACCATGAATATTATTTGATGTTGAAGTACTTTATGAGGTACTTTCTCACAAGAAACAAAAAATAAAAATAAATGCACCACCTAACATAAAAATGAGTATTGATGCAATACATCCCAGAATAGTGAGTGGAAATTAACAAATAAAGCACTACGAGAGCCAAAAAGGCAGCGGAAAATGAACCCAAGTAGTCAAAATTATGACATAATACTAATCAAGGTACAGAGGAGACAAAAGCAAACTACTCTGCATTGCAACCTGTTCTGGATTATGTACCTATAAATTCCCAAATCCTGGTTATAGGGGCTTCTGAAGATCCAAACCCAACAAAAAACACCAGTCTGATCACTGCACCGATAGACTACTTCAGGGAATAGCATCCTATAAATGATACGACTTACTAACGTTGTAGTAGTATGGTAAACAAATTTTCAATGTAAATGATAGGTAGGAAAGCTAAATTAGTTAGGGGTTTTGAATTTTGCGTGGGTAGGACAAAGTGAGTACTGGTCGGTTGATGGAGATTAACTTGTGGCAAAATATTTAGGAACCAAATAGTAAGTTCTGATACATTTTTAGCAATCGAGAAATACAATGCAGCTATAGGTTTTTCCAATTAAAGTGAATAATTAGTTAGATTTTTAGTGACTACGCATAAAAATAGTAGTTAGAAGTAGGCAATATTTATTACAAAAAATTATGAAACAAACACAAAAACGCACTAACAACTTATATAATCAGGATAACATTTACATAGTAATAGAAAATGGAATAATGATGACAAAATTAGAAAATAACTGGTGGTTTGTGGCAAATGAGAAAGCTAAATTCTGACTGGTTTTACTGACTAGCTAATTGACATATTAGTTTCGTGATTATCTGCCAACGGTGCCACATGGTGACTGGACTTGGAATTTACTGCACCTACTGTTTGATGAGCTTGCTTTTTGCAGTCAGCCAAATATTTCGCTGTAGGGATTGCTGCACTTCCCAATTGTACGGTATCAGGTTGGACGGCGATACATAAATTGCTAGTATTATTTTCTGTATCGTTGGAATTATGATATACTTCACCGCCATCTGCTAGAAATATAGCAGCAACTTCACGGGGTAACTGGTCTAATGGCAAACCAATGTACTCTTCACCAGTTGCTGGCACAAGAGATTTGTCCAAGTCAGAAAAATAAGGATGCAAAAGAGCATCCCTTGCAGTAATACGTCGCGAAGGTTCATAGATCAGCATGGCCTGTAAAAGGAATCGATGACGAGGAAAAATAAGTTACGTGATACGTTCCGTAAATACAAAACCACGGCGAGATATATGTAGTATTAACTAAAATTAATGTACTTCACACCAAGTGTAAGTTTACAAACTTGAGTGAGTCAAGTGATTAAATTACTAAGCCGGTAGTGATTTAGTGCAGAACCGATTAGTGGGAAGGTGCTATTCCTGAATAATAGGATTTATTGTCTCATAATAATTACTTAGTAAACGTGTACACATTCGTTCACTAGTTTGAGAATAATATCTGGTTTGCGGGCTTGTGATACCATCTTTTTACACAAACTGAAGTGCAGGTAGAGCATAGCTCTAACTCCAGATACTTGATACAATTTAAAACCACAGCACTGGTTTATATAGTGCTTGTTCAAAAAAATATCCACTTCACTGCTCTTAGCTCAGTTGAATACAGAAAATATGGCACAATTTCACAAAAAAAAATTGATAAGCTAGTTTCTGTGTACGTACTAAACTGAATGGAACTATGAAAACCAATCTTCTAAACTGCCAGAAATTATTAAACGTTGTTGTAAGAACTGATTTAAAAAGTAATTTACCTGAAGCAAATCAAGACCAGGACTGGTGAAGGCTTTAGCTATATTATCTTGAATAGACAACTTTGAATTGCGCCAAATAGGAAAACTTTTCTTTTGATATTCCGGTAAACTTGAAACTCCTGGCCAAACTTCTTCTGATGGCGTACCAAGGAGCCGGAAAATGCGAAAAAGTTGATCTATTTCCGAATCTCCTCGAAATAAAGCTTCTTTTGTTGAGACCTCAGAAAAGATACAGCCCATAGACCAAATATCTACGGCACAAGAATACCTTTGAGCCCCAAGCAAGATTTCTGGAGCTCGATACCATAAAGTAACAACCTGTTAAGATAAGTAGTATGGAAATAAAACGTTCACTGAAATGCAGCAAACACTAAATCATTTTAGGATGTTGAACTCATATTCTACAGAACGCCGAACAACCAATAACTAATCACATGGGCGAGCCTATTACGAGAGATCCTGGGATGGTAGCTGAGCGTTCGCATGGCTTTGGCAAACATGCACTACCTGTGAGCGTGTTTGCTTTTCGTCTGGCTGATTTCCAAAGCTGTGAGCCAGATATATGCCACGTTTTGTGCTTTTCATGTGTAGATGACATGTCCAAATCACCACAGTATGTATAATAGTTCGTGATCTTACTTTCAAATACCTCCTGGAGTAGATTATGCAACCACATTATTCTTTTCTGTCATCCTTGTATTAACTCCTGTAAAATAAATATATGATATCCAAAGAGCAATAAAGGTTAAGTTAACTATTTTCTAGTCTTGAAGATATCCCATACACCTGCTTTGGAAGGTTTTCACTGGTTTATATCAATAAGATTGTTAAGCGCTACCTCCGAACCAAACTTTTACTAGGACTTTTGCAGTCAGTAGGAAGCATGTCTAACATTTGCGACATACCTGGAACTTAAATGCCATTCACGACAGCGATTTTTAGAATTGCCAGGAAAAGATGCTTCAATGAATCTGAGCTTTAGTACTGTTCATCGGCGAAATTATACGCCAAGATCGGTCAAATGACAAACATTGGGACCGCCTTAATCATAGGTAAAAAAGACGACATTTCGCATTATCTTAATCACTTTTGACATCACCTTTGAACCCAGGTGCTTGTGCCACCAGAATTTATGACACCAATAAAACAAGATAAAAAACAATTTTCTCATCAAGATGGAACCCTAGTTAGTATACAATTTGGATACTTGACTTAAATCCAAGTTAACTGAAAGTATGCCTATACAAATACATACCTCATGAGTTAGTACACGAACAGGAATTCCAAAAGCACGAGCCAAACCGAAATCTGCAAGTTTGACAATTTTTCTTCCAATGTCAACCAGGATATTTTGGGGCTTTAGATCCCTGTGAATAACTCGCCTGCCGTGACAAAACAATAGACCTTGTAGCATTTGATACATGAAGCTCTAAAAAGTCAACTGCTGTAGCATTTTACCTTAACAATACCAGGTTCGAGTAAGTTTTTTCTTCCACTGTCATCCAAGTAGCGTTTTAAATCCAAATTTAGGTACTCAAAAACTAAGTATAGTCTTCCATTCTCCATGATTACCTGCTCGAGACTTAAGAGCATAAACGGATACCCGTGAATACTTACTTCACGATGTTAGGATGTTGTAATTCTTTTAGGAGTGATATTTCCCGAATAGCCGTCGAAGGAACACCCTCCTCGTCATTTTCGAGACGTATCTTTTTAAGTGCAGCAAATTTACCGTTGACTTTGTTTTTACATTTATACACCACTCCGTATGTGCCTAGACAAGGCGGTTACGAGAACCTAGGAATACCTTCGCCGATTTTCTCCAGTCTTATAAAGTCGGACAAGGCGTAATTACCGCGTGTCGACATTATTTAGGAGAAAAATGTGCTGTATTTTTGGAGAAGTTTGCTGAGCACTGCACTGATTTAGTAAGAAAACAAACCCAAAGAATTCAAAGTCCGAGAAATCACAGCTTGTCTCAGTAATCACGCGACAAAACAATGAAGGTCAGCTTGGAAGCTTCGGATAAACTATATATGGGTCACGATATTAATTCACCTAAGAAAACACATTTCGTCATATTCAAACGTGTTGGAAGAAGAGGTAAAAAACAATACTTGATATCTTGTCGTCCAACATAAAATAGCTTTTGTGCATTTTTGTTTTAACACCCAATATATCTATCATTATTTCGAAGAACTAGTGTAAACCAGACGACTTGGGTCGTTATGTTAATATATGATTCCGGAACCATAGTACTATCCATTATGAACAATCTAGTCACTTGACCGTACTAGTTGTAGTGGATTCGATGTATATTAGTAGGTTAGGGAATTGGGTATAAGTGGATTTGCTTGTCTTAGAGCAATAGAATTTATGGAACTAGTAGCTATCGTGTTATGAGACAGTCGACTACATGGCAACAATACAAGAATCATAAGGTTAGGATCCCAAGTAGAGATAATTTTCGATATCTTTATAGCGATGGAGTATAAAAGCATTTGTTTCTCTTCCCTCGCTTCTTGATGTTACGGTGCTGTTCCACGTATTTGGCACCACCCAGTGTGAGTAGTTCAGCAAGTAAGAACAAATAAATCCCCGAAATGAACAGCTCTGTAAGTCCCCGACGTTGATCTTGACCTCAATAGTTTCAATGGACACACCATAGCTGAAGGCACTCAGTCACGTATCCACATCAGATCACAACCTCATGCGTAGTGCTACGTATCCCTCACAGTGACTAGCCAGATTGGATCAAACGTTTCTCAACATATCGATAACCTTCCGAATATATCTTTGGACTCCTTCATCCCTGACTCCTGATTTTACTGGGTTTTGGATTTTCCAATTATGAAGAGGCTACAGACAAAGGCGTTGAAGAAGCCCGAATATCCGTGGCATCTTTAAGCCGATTAACCGCAGTCATTTGAGCGGATTTGGCACTTGACTGGGGGTTTATATTTCGTATGTTAAAAAAGGTGAATTTTTGAGGGTAGACTTGTAAGAATCGACAGCTGAAATAGGAAAAACTATGAAATGAGCACACTGCTGGTATGCATGGACAATATAAACAAACGAATGTTTACGAACAACAGGGAGGTGTAGGTGACAGTCGCTAAGGTGATAAAAGATGTGCCAATAATGCTGGAAGCAAAAACCGACTCAAAGCCTCTACATAGCGGTACGTGGCAGCAAGGGCAACCTTGCTGGTTAGTCTGGGTGATCGGTGGAAATCGAACTAATCTTCCTCTCTTCTGTGTTAAACTTTGATTACTCGAAGTTCGTTTTTTGAGGCTCCAAAAATCGTGATGGATTGCCCGATGTGTATGCTTATGTATATGAATCCCATGAGTCTTGGCTGATGTAACCTATGTATGTAGACATATGGAATGGGTACCCGCGTCATTCACCACTAGGAATATAAGCTGAAAAAATGTCAGCCATTTGTCTAATAAAATCAACGACCTAATTCTGCAGGCCGAAATCATAATGAAAAGATGTAGCAGCAGATACCAAACGGAAGTGAACATCAACTCTCCTCGAGAAAGTGCTTATGCCTATGTCTATGTCACAAGGTACAAGGAAGAAAGCCTTCATACCAGTGATATGCACGCAATGTGTAAAAAACAGTCAATCACAGCGAACACGTTCAGATGGAGGGGTAGCCATTTACACTCTCTGACAGGTGAATACACTTATGTGGATGCCATGGGATGAGTGAGTTAATACCTGTTTTACTTGTATTCACGTCGACTGTACGTGCCTCTGGTACAACACTAAAGAACCAAAACAAAGGTTGCCAACGATTTCTTCACGTAATCAAGTCTATTTGAAAGGTTCAAAGCCAAAGAAAGCGAATTTTGACGCTCGGCTCACCGTGGGATGTCATATGAGAAACTATGCGCCGGTTTGCGTATAGTGTCTACGTTTAAGTGGTTTGAAGTGTTTAATATGCTGTACGCTATCGTCAAGTAACGTCAAATGTTCGTGTACTCTAGGCAGCGTAATCCAAGGTGATAAAACTGGTCTCTAGGAAGTCTATCACTCAATCCTCTGTTACACTTTGAAACACGTCATTGTACCTCATCCAGGAGTTACACATTCCTTTTGTGATGAGGGTTTGCAATAATGCTGTGCATCTCGAGATGTGAACAGATGTTGGCGTTGGATAGTGTAAGAAAGAAACGGCAGTCAACATTTCTGGGTGACTTTGGATAAAGTGTGGTGTGGTCCAAGCTTCGACTGAGCTCGACAGATAGTCAGAAGCAAACCTAGATAGCGCCTTGTCAAGGTTAAAAAGAGTCATCTACCACAAAAGAGGTAGAACACCCGTCAATTGTCTGTAGCTCGAAGTTTCTTCATTTGGAAATTTCGAATGCTGCATAATAAACTGTAGCCTTTTTCCACTTCTCCTAGCATTACTAGATCCCTGCTCTAAGGGACTAAGGTACCAAGACTCTTAGATCTTTTTAAAATTAGGATACCTCTAAGAGGGAGTTGCCTGAGTTTTATGCGTGGTCTGTAACATGTCTCGGACTATTTTACACTTTGAAGCGTTAAAAGTAAGTCTTTTGTTATCTGCCCAACTTTGACGTCGAGTCAGATCCTCCTGAAGTGCCAGCTTATCATCTTATTTGCAAACATCTCTCCAAAGTTTCACATCATCAGCAAAAAATGACATGTCAGACAATACCTACTGTGGGAGATCGTTTATGTGTATCAAGGAAAAAAGAGGCCCTAGTAGTGAACCCTGACGGACCCCACATGAACATTCCGCAGTTTGAGGAATGTGAAGTTTACTCTGACCCTAAGAAGTTGGCTATTTAGATGTGAAGTAGGCCAATAATACATAATAATTTGAGTTTATTGATAGGGTACATTTAATTTATCATATCAAAAGCTTTTGAGAAGTCAAGGTATGTAACATCCAACTTCCCCGTGCGATCACGGATGGTTGTCTATCTGTCTACCACGGTCTGCAGGTTGGTCTTAAAGAAGTGACCCTCCTGAAACCGCGCTGTGGGGGTAAGTTTGTGGGTAACAAGTGGCCACATAGACCGTCGCATATCAGGGACTCCATAAATTCTGAACGTATTAAGAGAAGTGCTTGAAAGTTTGTTGTGTTGACCTTCTTTGAAAATTGATGTCCGATTTTCCGGAAGCATTCTTAGGCTTAACTGAAGTGAGAAAATCACACACAGCCGTTTGACAAGATTGAAGCGGCTTCCCACAGTTTAACAGAGTGAACCATGTCCGAGACAGGAGAAGAATCCTTGTCTAGGTACTACAGTTTCTGACACGTCACTCAGCACTCATGTTCGCTTCTGAGAATCTTTTTGAGTTGCAGGTGTGGCCCATGTCGATGAAGTTAGTATGGTATGGTTGAAATGTTTGGAAACACTGTTCTATCAGAAGATCTGCAGTATCACTGTCTTTGCCGGTCGGGACCAAGGAGTTGAAAAACCCCGATTTTGGCTTGCCGAAGAGTGGCTGCATGGCAGTATAAAATTCTCGGGCTTGGAATAAACTCATCGATTAGCTTCATCTGATGTTGAAGCCTGCCTTCCCTAGTCGTCTCGTGCATTTTTTTTCTTGATTGTTTTAACTTGTATTCTGTTTAGTGGTGTCTTTTGTATCTCAGCATTGGAAAATTAAGGTTCTTTTTTAACTGTACGTTGCTTGCAACTTGTGGTCTGTGTAAAAGACACACTTTTTTCACACGGGATGGTGTGTGGCGATAAATCCCAATGAGCGTCCAAATCCAGTTGAGCGTGGGCTCCCCATTCCACCTGCTGTGGATTGTTCTGTAAAGCTGGCACATTCAACCGTTTGAAATTCCAACGTCTGTCGTTGGCAGGATGTTTCAGCTCAGTTTTGTTGATAGAACTAAAGGCTATGACAGGATGATCACTTTTACCCAGAAGATCAAGGATTGGGAGGTTGCCAATTGGGAATTCTTTGTTTGTTAATATGCCATATGGGCGTGACAGCGTCTGGTTATTCCTCCAATGAGTTGCTAGCTTCACATTTTCAGAAAGCCCCAGGTCTTCAGTGAGGTTGAAGAACCTAGCTTCAGTAGAGTGGTCACCTCCTATGTACATGTATTCCGCGAAATTAACTCTGAGAATATTGTAGTCTGTTGGAATCACTATATGAAAGCGTTTGAGACGGATAAAGGAGGATAATACCTCCAGCATACGATTTGCACGATCAGTATCAGCAGTGGGCTTCATGTAAATGACTTCAACTAGACGCCTCGAGGAGTTAGGCAAACTTACTGAGGAACATACGCATTCATTAAGACTGACAAACTCTCGAGTTTACACTAGATTAGCTACCAAGCAAGATCATAGGTACATGGCTAAAAACGTCCCTCATTTCTGCATTTCCGTCTCTGTGAAACAAAGGCATGTTAGATATTGTTAGCTCCCGGTCCTTAAATTAAAATGTCCATCTATCGGATATTCCTATTAGATGAGTATTATTAACATTATTTAGTTCACACATCTCATCCACTATGTTCAATAAACTGGCGGAGTTCATAAATAGACAGTCCATACTTCCGACTTGAAACTCGTGAGCCTTTCTGTCCTGTTTGTCTGAGTGGGCCTTGTGTGAATGGACAGGCAACCTAATTACACAGGGTAGTCAGTATCCCTTCCAGGTTTTATCTTCATTTCTAGTAGCCAATAAATGGAATAATCACTCAACTCTGACTTTAGTGTTAATCATCGCATCATGTGACCTACTCGGATGAATGTTTATTCCAGTTGATAGCCGGCGTCTGTTGACAAGAGATGATCCGAAGGTGGCAGCTGTCCTTGAGAGGATGGGGAGGTTAACTTTACAAGCCAGGGTCCGAAATCCTCGTCGTCCTTGGCTAGTCGCATCACTTGTTGGGTCAATAGGTTCATGAACTTTAAAGTCCGCTTTATGAATTTACAGTCTAGAATATCTTGGTCTGCATAATCAGGGTCCGCTTCTTCTGAGACACCTTTCACAATGATATTTCTTCTGAGAAAGAACGTCCCTCGAGACTCCTTAGGGGTAGTCCTGACGATATTACGCCCAGAATATGGTATATCAGGCAGT